GCTGTGATCACACCACTGCACTGCAGCCTGGGCAACAGAGTGAGACCTCGGCTCTAAAAAAAAAAAAAAAAAAGGCTTGTGTTGCATGAGGTTTTGGGGGACAAGATGTTTTTTCTTGATTTTCAATGTTTCATCCCACCTCCACATTTTACTTGTGTAATGATGAGTTTATTCATTGAGTGAGACCTTGGCTCTATTAAAAAAAAAAAAGTCTTACGTAGCATGAGGGTTTTTGGGGACAAGATATTTTTTCTTGATTTTCAATGTTTCATAATCTCATCTCCACATTTTACTTGTGTAATGATGGGTTTATTCATTGTGGGCCTCAGTTTCTAACTTGGTTTTCAGCTCTTGAAAATTCCGTCAGATGCAGTGTATAGTGTCATCAATGTAAAAAGCCATGTTTTGCCAGGTACTGTGGCTGACCCTTGTAATCCCAGCACTTTGGGAGGCTGAGGCGGGTGGATCACTTGAGGTTGGGAGTTCAAGACCAGAGTGGCCAACATGGCGAAGCCCTGTCTCTACTAAAAATACAAAAATTAGCTGGGTACGATGGCACACGCCTATAGTCGCAGCTATTCAGGAGGCTAAGGCATGAGAATTGCTTGAACCCAGGAGGCAGAGGTTGCAGTGAGCTGAGATCACTCTACTGCACTCCAGCCTGAGCAACAGTGAGACTGTCTCAAAAAAAAAAAAAAAAAAGTCATGTTTTACATGTTGCTAGGTATAAAACCTTGATAGTCAACTGGTCAACTGGCTTCTATCCAGACTCTGTTAATACTGGAGTAACACATGACCATAAAAACTTTACATTGGGTTAAAAACTATTTTGAGCAATTCTATTTATCCAATGGCGTTTGTGGGTCATTTTTGTCTTCAACAGTATGAAAAATGTGTAAGAAATAAAGAATTAGTAAAAATGCTTACACCAAACAATTAAATCAAAGAGTAGTTTATTAAAAAAGAATCAAAACAGAAACTCTAAGTACCAGTGTGTACATTGTACACATTTAAATGACTCACGAGAATGAAGTTTTTTTTCAAATATATTAAGATCACACCACCTTGTTGTTTATCGAAAGATATTCAAGGAGAAATATCTGACTCTCCAAACTGCATCTGAGATTGCCACTTTAAAACAGACCTCATTTCAAACATGCAACAACGCCACTGGTAATAAAGCTTTGGAATGGGTGCTCATTCTATTATTTCACTACAAACAGCATAGAAAGCAAGATAAGTTGGGAATTTATTCTAAAATAGAATGGAGGTTGTCATCTACACCAGCACTCCTCACTCCTCTGTTGCCATTTTTAGCAAGTACTGCTTGTCGATCTTGAACAGTCTCCAACCCTCTTCACTGGACAGATCAGAAGCACCTCTTCTTTTGTAGAAGTTGATGGATGGTTCATTCCATTCTGCTACCAAGAAGTGCATGCTGCTGCAGCGACACTTCATCGCAACCTATTATGAGAGAGTAAAACACAAACTCAGTGACGTTTCAACCTGCTTTCAAGACCCAATTTTTATTCCATCATTAAAATAATCCAGTAAACTTACAAATTTGGAAACCAAAAACTAAGACATACCCGGCTTAGATTCTTCAGAATTTCTGATCCTATGCCAAAGCCTAAAAAGAAAAAGTACAATTTAAAAAGTCATTGTAAGGATTTATATAACCCTGAACTCTCTTCAGACCCTCTGCTCCGAACTCAATCGTACCTCTATAATCACTCATCACGAAGAAGTCCTCAAGATACAGTAACTTGCCAATCCACGGGTCATAGGTAAAATAGTACATGGCAAAACCAACAATGCTGTGTCCTGTAATAAGAGTATCACATGAGATGTGGAGAAGGAAAACATTTCATAAAAGTTGCAGCTGCAGAATCAGAGGCCTATCATAGGTTTAAAAAAACATACATGCATGTATTACAGAAACAAACAGCCACGACTGTCTCATGATTTTTATGTGAGTGCAGTCCAGGCCACTGCTGGATGATCTCACTGTTCTGAAAACATGTATTTGCAAAAAGCACACATCAGAACTCACTGAAGTCAGGCTACAACTGTGGACTGGCCACTCTGCAGTCTGCTGGAAGCTCACACTCAGGAAGCGAGAACACTTTCATTACTTGCCAGAGCAAAATTGCTATGGTTTTAAACTCAACACACACATTATTCACATCCTACTGGTATACTGGTATGTTGACTTGGGAACAAGTCAGGTTTACACGGCAGTTCAGAATAGTAAATATTTGGAAGTTTACAAACTCTTGCTTCCTTAAAGGTCAGAACATCAGGCCAAAGTACAACGTTTAATTTCAGAACTTGCCTTCCAATTTACGCATTTTCAATTTGCTCTCCCCATTTGTTGAGTCAGAAGAGGCAGCACTGCCCAGAAACAGGTATTACATAACATGCACATTACTTTAAAAAGTACTCATCCCGTGTTTTCTGCTCATTTCTTCTAGCCTGAGGAACAGACGTCAGAAAAAAAGCAATCACCCAAACAACTTCCCCTTTTAGCTGAGCTGTCTTCTGACCAATCAACAGGGATCAGCCAAAAAAAAAAAAAAAAAAAAAAAAAAAAGGGGGGGGGATCTGACACCCTCTTAACAGGTGTCTACTATTCCAAATGGAGGCAAAGGTTTCAAATTAAACTTTCTAGCCATTTTATATTCCTTAGCAAACAGACAGGAAGCGAGTATCATAGTGGGTTTCTGATCTACCGTGTTTGAAGTGTGTGATAATAGGACCTTACCTCATTTATCATGATCATCTACTTTATTGTGTAAAGGATCTTTTAGTTACCTCCCCGCCCATCCATGTACACGGAAGGGCCATGTACATGGCGAAGCTAGAGACTGTAACCTGAAGATTGGGACAAATTAAAGAAAAAAATGTGATTTAACACAATTACAAAAACTGTTACTTTAGGGTCAAACAAGAACCATTTTATGAAACTGAATTACAACAAATGACATTATACCTAACTCTTCGGGGTGGCCACAGCACTTGTACTTACTTAAGCAGCTTAAACTCTTCAGAGTCTCCACAGCACTCTGATACTTACTTAAACAGCTCTTTTAACCTGCCCTAGTATTCTCAAGTGCAGCGTATCTAATTTTTTTTTTCCTCAGTAGTTTGAACACTTGCTGGCTATTTTTTCTGTCCAAGTTCTCAGTAACTTCGGCCTGTGTAGTCAGTGGTTCTACACAGCCGACACTACTTCTTACATAACACTCGGTCTCTCTGGCTTCTGTAAAGGGAGAGGGGTTACCTTCCGGAGTCCAGTGCTCTTTGGGCACTTCTGCAACCAGGCAGTGGTAAAAGGGGTGCTCTCCAAAACCATCTTCTAGCAGATCTGCAAGAAGGGGGAACAGGGACGGTAATGGCCTCGGCGAAGGTGACAGGCACCGAACGCTTGTCCCCCGCCCCGCCACTGTTGAATTACCTTTTTCAGTTAAGATTACTTGTTCTTCCATGTATTCATATTTAGCCAGCTCCTGGGGGGATGCACATAGGAGAGAGAAAAGCAGAAAACAAAATGAGGCTCCGGCCGGCCAGCTCAATGGAAGGGAATGGGGCGGGCGGGGCGGGGTAGCGGCCGGGCCTGGGATGGGCGCAGAAAGGGGAACCGGCTGGGCTCTCACACCGGCCCAGACCTCGAGACGCGAATCACCCCACCCCGGGAAACGGAACCATCTCCACCCTACGCCACGGGAGGAGCTCGGGCTCTCCGCTACCTTGATCAGCCGCAGTATGTCACTGCAGTCGGCGGCAGTGGCTGGGCGGATCACGAATTTAGCCATTTTCGTCTTTTGCTTTTCTTCCCTTTGCGGACCAGGCCCCTGTACTTGAATAGTAGGAGGAGGTGGTTCCTCATTCGTCTCCCGGGAGCGTCCTCTTCTCAGTCAGGCTGGCACCATGACCCAGGGAACCTCGGCGAGTGACTGATAAACCTTAGTCGACTTGCGACTAAGAGCTGCGCACTTGAACATTGGCCCGGCTCGGCTTTTAAGCGCAAAGAAGCCCCGCCTCGGGCCGTGAGGTGGGGACCTCTCATCCAATGAGGCCGCGGCCCCGGGGCGCATCGTTTCCTCTCCCAGGCACCACCCTGTCTTCCGGGCGCCCGTGTGAACCCGGAGGACAAAAGTTGGGGATGCGGGGCGCGCTGTGGGATTCGCTAGCGGCGCCCTCTAGTGGCACTTCGCGGAGCCTTGGCAGAAACCCTACTGGGAGCCGGTGTGTCCCCAGTAACCTTTGCAAATGAAAGAGGGGAATTCCCTCTGCGGCCCCCCGACAAGTGACCTTTCTCTTTTCTCCTTGGCCAGTCAGGGAAGCAAACTCAGGAACCCTGGACTTAGGAGATGGGAGGAAGATTAAAGCGGCAGTTCTCAAAGTGTGATCCGGGAGACCCTGCAGATCCCAAGATTCTTTGTAGAGTTTCGGTGGCAGAACTAGTTTTAGAATAATAGACGTCATTTGCCTTTTAAACTCACAATGGAATTTTCCAGAGGCGACCTGATGTCTAATGATGACACTGCTCTTATGACCAAAGGAATGTGAGCTCGTATATTCTTGCGGTTTTTAGAATTTCCTAAGGTAGGTTATTTAGATTTCCCAATTATCTTTTTTTCTTTATACTTGTAGTTTCTAGAGTTGACAGCATTTTTTTTTCTCACTTTTCTAACCTTCTTATACCTTCTTAAATCTCTGATCTTCCTCGACACTTGATCTTGACACCTTTCCTTCTGCCCGAGGTACATTCTTCATAATTTGCTTTAGTAAAGATTTGCTTTTACTAAACTTTCTCAGTTTTGCTTATCTGAATGTGTCTTTAATTCATCTTATAATTCCTTTTTTCAGACTAGTCAAGTGCAGTAGTGAGAGTAAAATAAGGAGTTTGATCTGTTACTGACTGTGAACAATCAACTGAGATAACTCACTACCTTTGGACCAGCCCATCTTACAATTCTTGAAGGGTTTATTTCACTGTTTATAGATTTTGAGGTTCAGAAGTTTTCCTCTTTCAGCACATTGATGTTATCTGTCTTCTGACTTCGGTTGCTGTTGAAAGTTGTTGTAATCCCTACTTGCTCCATCCTCTATGCTTCATTTCCTTTAACTTTTTTTTGAAATAATTATACATTTACAGAATATGTGATGATGTCATTGCTCTGGTGAGGAAAAAAATATGTGCTTGTGTATTCCTATGTTTTTTACAATTTTCGAAGGTAAGGTCTTTGGATTCCTTGATAAGTATTTTTTTTTTTTTTTTTTTTTGGTAGAGACAGGGTCCTCACCATCTTGCTCAGGTTGGTCTCGAACTCCTGGGCTCAAGTGCTTCTCCCACCTCGGCCTCCCAAAGTGCTGGGTTTACAGGTGTGAGCCACCGCAACTGGCTGGATTCCTTGACAAGTTTTAAATGTTCTGAAACCAGAGTGTTTGGGAACATTTGGATTCGAGTATAGCTACTCCTGTATTGTACCTCCTGGCCCAAGTATTCAAGCCTTTGTGGAATGAAATGACTTTTCTTTTACAACTCACTTTCCCAGACAGACCCTGCTGAAGGCCTTACTTCGACAGCCCTGCCTGGGTTCAGAAATGAGTCAGAGGATGATTTTCACAGTGATGAAAAGCATAAAAGGGGCCTGCAGTGTCTGCAGTCTGTAGAAGGAGGGATCAGACTATCACCAAAAAACCACCCGTAACATTCAACAAGTGATTCTCTGCCTTTGCTAGCAATATCCTGTATGTAGAAAAGAAAACAGAAGTAGATTCTCTGTTACCCTTCCTGCCCTAGGGGGATTCCATGGTTAGTGAGTCACCCTGGGAGTTTATGAAACTCAAATGTCTTTCTCAAAGATCTTTAAAAATCGCTTTGATTCTCAACTGCCTAAGTTACAGCTACTAGTCTTTCCTGACAGTGTTGGCTAGACCTTATGGATGACCAGACGGCTTTTTCCTCCTCTGCTTCTGTCTAAAATGTCAGGACTTAGGAGAGCTTGTTATACATTTCAGTAATGTATACCGGTAACAGTACTGTTACCGGTAACAGTAAATTAGACCGCTATGACTAAGCACTAGTGATAGCTGCGTAACTAAAGCAAAACCAAAGCCATCTTCTGTTTGGGTTGCTTAATTTAATAGAATAGGATTGTTTTGGCCAGGCGTGGTGGCTCACGCCTGTAATCCCAGCACTTTGGGAGGCCAAGGTAGGCGGATCACGAGATCAGGAGGTCAGGAGTTCGAGACCAACCTGGCCAACATGGTAAAACCCCGTCTCTACTAAAAATAATTTTTAAAAATTGGGCATGGTGGTGTGTGCCTGTAATCCCAGCTACTCAGGAGGCTGAGGCAGGAGAATCGTTTGAACCCAGGAGGTGGAGGTTGCAGTGAGCCAAGATCACGCCATTGCACTCCAGCCTGGGCAACAGGGCGAGACTCCGTCTCAAAAAAAAAAAAAAAAGAAGAAGAATAGTGATTGTTTCATTAAAATACATTATAATTTTTCCTGTTTATTTTGTTTTTCTGGTTTAAGTTTCTTCTCTCTCTCTCTCTCTCTTTCTTTCTTTTTTTTGATGAAGTCTCACTCTGTCACCCAGGCTGGAGTGCAGTGGCGTGATCTCCACTCACTGCAACCTCCGCCTCCCGGGTTCAAGCCATTCTCCTGTCTCAGCCTCCTGAGTAGCTGGGACTACAGGCACACGCCACCACGCCTGGCTAATTTTTGCATTTTTAGTAGAGACAGGGTTTCACCATGTTGGTCAGGCTAGTCTCAAACCCCTGACTTCAGGTGATCCACCTACCTCGGCCTCCCAAATTGCCGGGATTACAGGCGTGAGCCACTGCGCCCGGCCTAGTTTAAGTTTCATGATCTTTTGCTTTGCTTTGTCCTTATGACAAGAAGAACCTATTCTGAAAAACAGATGGTGGCCGGGAGTGGTGGCTCATGCCTGTAAACCCAGCACTTTGGGAGGCTGAGGTGGATGGATCGCTTGAGCCCAGGAGTTTGAGACCACCATGGCAACATAGGGAAACCCCGTCTGTACCAAAAATACAAAAATTAGCTGGGTGTGGTGGCGTGTGCCTGTATCCCGGCTGTTAGAGCTATTAGCCTCCCAGCTTGGGAGGCTGAGGTGGGAGGATCGCTTGAGCCCAGGAGGTAGACGCTGCAGTGAGCCATGATCATGCCACTGCACTCCAGCCTGGGTGACAGAGCGAGACCTTCTCTCAAAAAAACCAAAAGAAAACAGATGGCTAAAAAAGCCCACTGTGACTGTGTTTGTGGACATGAAGAAGCCTAGAACCCTAAGAAATTGGAATGTTTTTCGTGGCAGTGAATCACATTATACTTTTCCATTGTCATGAATGGATAGATGCAACCAGCATTACATTTATATATTTATTATTATTATTATTTTTTGAAACAGAGTCTCACTCTATTGCCCAGGCTGGAGTGCAATGGCACAATCTCAGCTCACCGTAACCTCCACCTCCTAGGTTCAAGTGATTCTTCTGCCTCAGCCTCCCACTTGCCACCATGCTCAGCTAATTTTGTATTTTTGGTAGAGACGGGGTTTCACCACGTTGGCCAGGCTGGTCCCAAACTCCTGACCTCAGGTGATCCACCTGCCTTGGCCTCCCGAAGTGCTGGGATTACAGGTGTGAGCCACCACGTCCAGCCATATATATACACACACACACACACACACACACATATATATATATATTTATTTATTTATTTATTGAGACGGAGTTTTGCTCTTGTTGCCCAGGCTGGAGTGCAACGGTGTGGTCTCGGCTCACTGCAGCCTCCACCTCCCAGGTTCAAGCGATTCTCCTGCCTCAGCTTCCTGAGTAGCTGGGATTACAGGCATGTGCCTCCATGCCCCACTAATTTTGTATTTTTAGTGGAGGTGGGGTTTCTCCATGTTGGTCAGGCTGGTCTCAAACTCCTGACCTCAGGTGATCTGCCTGCCTCGGCCTCCCAAAGTGCTGGGA